CAGTCAGGCCATTGATCAGGTATTGCCTTAGGAGCCAGCTTCTGAGACTTCCCTAGTGTGCGATGTTTAGCCATTCTTTTCAAAGCCAGTATGACAAAAGAGTTCCACTAAACTTCCAACTTCAAGAGGATTTTGTGTAAACCAACCAAATAGGAGTATCATCAAAGACAAATCTCTCCAATTATAGCACATCACAGTAACATTCGATATTGTGTCTGGGGTGTTTGCTTCTGTCATGTTCTTATATGCACATTCAACTGTTCTGAGATTCCTGGTGCCACTCAAAGTAACTTCATCTACAATTAGGGTATGCTGCAGCTAGATGACACTCTTAATGGGTTACATAGTCCAGACTTTTACACCATTTGTTTCAGAAAGAGAAATTAGCGTGGTTTTTTTTTTCCAGTCATCATGCCTTTTACTCAACTATTTATGTCTTTAAGAAATAACACCTGAAATATGTAACAGTTACCACTAAATGATAATCTCTCTTAAGGTGGGTTATGTCTGTTTTGCTCACTTTTGTACATCACAACCTGTCAGGGCCTAGCAATAGTAGATGCACGGTATTTGAAGAATAAGGGAATAAACATATGTTACATTTTTATAACAGCTTTGTTAGCAAAACAGATGTAATCTCTACATTTTGCAAAGTAGGCAGTTGTCTAAAAAGTGAACTGATTTTTGTCTAAGGCCTTATCATTGGTATATAGGTAATCCAGAACCTGGATCCCACATCTTCTGACTTTACATTGAGTGTTATTTCATTCTGTCACCTCAATAAACTTAAAATCATCAACTATTAATGTTAATAATATTAAAATTAGAATAAACTGTAGTGGGAAGAGAAAGAATATATACCACCAGAATTAACTATAAAATGGTCCCTTTGCAATAATCATGGACCTTTTGAAAATAGTAACCAAAATCAAATCATGGTCTTGGCCCCACATACCATGACCATGGTCCCTTTAAACTCATTTTTCACTTCATTCTGCCATTTGCTTCAAGGCCTCAGCCACTCTGACAACAAAATGTATGTACAGCCCTTCTCTGGCAGCTCCAGGATCTTTTTCAGGCAACATCTTTGTTGACATTCTTATTACCTCTTTCTTACTTTCCAAATCTAACCCCTTCCATTCAAGAAAATGACTGCTGAGTTTAGCTCAGCTGTCAGTGAAATCACAGGGAAGGCCCAAGTTTACATTACTCAAAATCCAAGTCTGTTCTCTTTCAATCCTGAGTGTGAGAATTTCCATCCTTTTGGCATTATTTCCACATACTTTTATTTTTCCCAAACAGAAGTAACTGGCTACTCTAGCTACTGAAAAGATCGCTACCTGCCGCCAGCTGTGTTTTGATGGGGCCGTTTGACATTAGTACAACATGGAGCGAGCAAGGCAATCTCTGGCACCTGCCACTGTTACAGTCTTTTGGTACAGATTTTTGAAAGAGCTGATAATCTGCTTATAGTTGGATTTGGAGCAACATTTTAAAACAAACAAAAAAATGCATCAGGCAATTAAACCCAAGGAGCTAATCTGCATTTATTTTATTAGAAACACATCTGAAACTGTCAGTGTGGACCCCTGAGTGAGTATGGGGTAGAGGCTGGGAGAGGAAGGTTAGTGAACAGTGTGTGCTGTTAGTTTTGTTTCTTGTTAGATAACTGGCTGTAAATGGAGTGAAGAAAGAAGGATTTGAAATTCTTAACTAGGAAGACCACAAAAGATCGTATCTGTTTCGTGTTTATGAACCTTCAGACCTCACTCCCTAGACATGGATGATGTCTAGGCCCTTAGTGCCCTGACTTTCACCACCATCCCCCCAAATGCTATGCTTTAACCTTTTAAGAACTTAAAGAAATAGCAAGTAAATGTATTACGAATTACTCAAATTTGAGTACAAAGATCTTTTTTACAATGTAAAATCCTTTCATATAGCCATCTAGCACATATTTCTACATACAACTTAGATTCACATTGAACACCAGTAAATTAAGGTAAAAATAACGAAGCACTTTGGGAGTCTTTCTCATACTGGGTATAGTTACATATTCTACTTAAAGGACACTGTCTGGCTACCTCTGATGTGTGCCTAGCAGTGTCCACCATGGAGTAGAATCTCAACAAATTTATGTTAAATGAATGAGAACTTTTAGCCATTCCCTTAGAACTAAACAATTTCAGCCCAATGGGCAATGCAAAAACTTTATTTAACGCAATGAGTAGCTTTTTGGGGAGAGGCAATCAATGATTCATTTTAATATTTTAATTTTTTTTATTGTTAAATTGTAACACCAACACATGCATTGCTTTGGGAGGTTGTAATATTTCACCGAGCTCTGCCTTGAGCTAGCACACGTTTTTTAGATGTGTTCAATTTAATGTTGTCTCTTTGAACCCCTACTGACTTACTGTGGCTTGACTAGGGGTTCTATTTCTGTTCGTCCCTAGGACCACAGATTTTTTTCCTTTCTCTTTTTCTAATATTGCAACTTACCCCTTGAAGCAGTTTGTTGTTGTTGCAATTGGGAGGCAGCTATTTCATTTTTTTTCTGTTCATAAAAATCAGGTCTCCAAGAGATTCAACAATTTTCTTACTTATCCAAGGTTAAGGCTCTGCTCCTTCCAATGCGTTATCCTTTCAGAACCCGTGTTCAGCCTAAAAGAGGAAGCTTGATTTTTTTTTTTTCCAAAAATGGTTCTAATGGTTGAAAGTATCCTGTGCTTTGCTGTTTTCTTTTTCTTTTTCTTTTTTTTTTTTTTTTTTACTGTTCACAGCTTTGTCTTTAGAATTGTATTGAGTAATTTAGATTTATCTCTTTTACAGGGTGTTTTATTAGTAATGCTTAGTCTGATGGGTTCTTGCCAGGAAATGTTTTTCCTATCAGGGTCAGAGTGGGAGTTGAGTTTATAGCATAGTGAGCATGTAACATTGTCTTGCTTCATTCTAAGTTTAATTTTCTGCTTTTTAGTCAGCACTCTGGCCCCACTCTTCTTTTTTACATTGAAGAATTTTAGAAGTTAAAAACTGTCCTCATATTCCAGTCATCATTGCTAGAACATTGCTAGAACCCAAACTCCTGACATTTGTTCGTATAGTCGCATTGACAGGACCCTGGTTTTCACGGAGGGCAGAGACTGTTGAATTTCTTACTCTTAAGTTCCTTAGATCATCATTGGCCTAATATTGTGCTTATATTTTTAGTAACTATATATGTTTTATATATGTATGCATAATGAGCTAGACTTCCCCAGGACTGCAATTTAAAGTTCTAGATCTGAGTACAGTGATTATGAACTCTCAAACCAGAGTGCTCTTCCCGGTCTTCCTCCACTCACGTTGTGAGGACTGCTTAGCGAGCAGGTAATGAAATGAGGCACATTGACCCTGGTGATCATGATTATTGGGGGCAGGTGTTACAACCAGGTCCAACCTCATGCACTGACTATAGCAGTTGAACAGTCCAAAAGAACATCTGTGTGGTATAGTTTTACTCTTACAGGAATAAAGCTTTTCCGTTCTTGAGCACAAGATAGTTTATTTCACTTTCACTTGTAATAGACTCCTATAGTCTTTTCTTCTACCTCCCAGATAAGACTTATTACCTTGCTGTTATCCTTTTCTTCAGGAAGAATCAACTAATTTCTGGATTATATTTAATTATTCTTCAATCAGCTTTCTTAAATTTTTTTCTGCAAAATATAATTAATAACACCTGAATCTTCAGAAATATATATGAAATTGGCTCCTTAAAAGCAAAAGAGTACCTATTTATTATACACTCGTGTATGACAAAAATCAAAAGCTAGTCATATATTTAGAATCTGCAAATGCCAATTCAAAAAGTTGATTATAGTTCTTGGCCTTTATCTCAACTCTTCTAAATAATCAGTAGCTTACATGACATTTGGGAAAAGATTCTCTTTAACATCGTTACTGGTAAACATCCATGGTTTTAAAGTGCGGTGGAATTTTCTCTGTTCTATAGAAAAGGAATTCTCAGTACATGATTCTAGAAGGCATGATTCTGAAATATTTCATTCCAAGTGAAAGTAATTGTTTTGAAATTACAATAAAGCAGCATTTTGTTTTTATATTTTTTCTTGGCAAAATAATGATAATGAAAGCTGTCAGTGAGCCGTGTGAATACCAGGACCAGTCACATGCATTATCTTCTTTAATCCTCGCTACAACCTGACAAGATAGGTACTGTTCTTATACTCATTGATAGAAGAGAAAACTGGGCACATAGTCTTCTTGCCGAAAGTCACAGCTTGTAGGTTATGAAACTGGGGTTTGATCCAAGATAGTCTGACTTCAGGTTCTTACACTGTTGAATCTTATGTGTACCTGCTTTTGAGTGGAGTAATGTTTGTTAATTCTAGACCATCTGAAATCTTATATTTTATCCAATCTTTAACTTGCTTTATAGAATCAGATTGAGTGTGGTTTTGTCAGAAGTTTCTCTCAGAAGTAATTTTTAAGATCATAATGTTTTAAGATGTGTGTAATAATTTGACTTTTGCCTTTGGAAATATGATGCTATAATAGATATTTAGCATATATGTTTTATAAGTTTGGGTAAATATCCTCATGTCTATTTTTTTGTGTTAATGTGAGTGTGTACATATATATATGAAGAATATATAGCTGAAGAAACTAAAGGACATTTTTAAATTTCAGCTTTGAAGCAGACTGACCAACAGTTATAGAGAGCATAAGCAATGACAGAATAGAAAAACAATGAAAGAAAACTCTTAAGTAATTTAACTTTTTTTTCACCTGTACAACAATAGTCCTTGCATCATTTGGTTCTCAAAAAGAAATAGACAGTGGTGATGTTACTTTCTGTTTCTCCTTAGAAACTCTAAGGCAGTAGTACTGTGTGCATGAATGCCAGCAGGGGGGATAGGTAGCTTGTATTTCCATTAAATACCTTTTTCACGCCCACCCACCCACTCCCCCTCCCCCTGCCCCGCCCATCTTGATTTCAGGTGTCAGAAACTATTTAAAAGAAGCATTGGTGAATATAATTGCAGTGCATGCAGAGGTAAGCTATCATTAAATGTTCTTAAGAGATATGAGTAACAACAACAACAAAAAAAGGCAAATTTGATGGTTTTTATGGTGGTCTTGTTCCCCTTCAGACTATATCTTGAGTATAAATAAAACAAAACTCTACTTTCATACATGGACACACACATGTGTTTTTAACTATGAGAGTCTTTTTCTTGAAATTGTTTTTTCTCATAATTAAAACTAAATTTATTAGCATTTGAAAGGTAGAGAGATTGAAAAGATGGTCTCTTTTCTTGGATTAAAAGGAATGTGAAATCCCTTATCTCAGAGAAGTTATTAACCTCTTCTTTACCAGTATACAAATAAGCATTGGCATCTTATTCATGTAGCAATGTGCTCTTACATAGTGGCTGGGATTCCAGAAAAGTATGTTTGTTAGATGGGTTCAAAGAGCAGACTGAAGTTAGTAAGCAGGTGCATGGTTTTCTGTCTGTGGCCGACTGAGGTACATATAGATATTGATGCTTTTGATTCATGCTAAAACTTGCCGTCACTTGAAGCATTATCATCTTAAGCTTTATATTAATATTCTTGTTTAACATTCTTCTTGAGAGGACTCTTCTAAGGAACATCAAAAGAAGAGACCATAGCTACCACCATTATCACCACTGTAATACCTGTTCTGTAATTTCACAGTCTGTTATTCACTGCTTTGCTAATCTTTCGGGGTAGCTATGGCTCATAGACTGCTAGGTGACCAGATAAAATAGGGCTAAGCAAAGAGATTATCATAGTATAGTTTTAATTTCTTTGTAAAGGGAAGCTTATAAATTCCTCTATAAAAATAAAATTTTCATATGATTTAACTCAGGAATCTATCACATACATCTTTTATGAGTTATATCTTTTCAACCATGACTTTATCAAAAATATAAATATGCTTTCTTATTATGTTAGCTTCCAATAAAATTAAAGTGTAAAATTAAATCATCAGTCAGTGAAAGTGTTTCTGTGGTAGGTAGACAGGTGGTAGAGGAACTGTGAAATGTATGGGCATATTTTAGTGATAATAGTGATTCCTAGAGAGGCTGCCTTGATTATGAACATCATCAATAACTATAAGATTTTTTGTAAGTATTAGGCTTTTTAAGCCCCCTTTTAATTTATCCCAGTGACTGAAAGTAGAATTTCATTCATAATCCTTATTATTTACTATTTCCCACATGATCTTTATTTGCCAAAAATGTTCTTGTTATGTTTGGGTTGACCCAAAGGTTTAAACTGGTAACTCAATCTGAAAAACGGAAAATCTAAAAAGGAAGCATGATTTAGTTTAACTTATAAATCAGAATAATAAAATGTTTTACCAAATTTCCAAATATATTAACTCTTAATGTACCCAGTATAAAATGGTGTTTATTTTGATCTAAGGAAAGTCTGACCCAGTATGTTTTTATTCCTCTAATTTCTTCTTTAGAAATCATATTTCTCTTTGTGTAAGGGGAAGAGGAAGAAGAAATCCTTAAAACTATTTTTAGTTTGTCCACATCAGCAATCTTTCAGAATTATATTTGCCAATATATTTTAAGGGGATTATTTTTGTCATGAATCAGTTAATACAACTTAAGTATAAGTCGCTATCTTCCTTTCATTTATAATTCTGACCCTTTAAAAATGTGACTATGAAGACCTGTGAATTATTTTGTGCATTCCTTTGTTTTTAACAGATTCAAGTCAAGAAAAGTTCCTTTAATACACCGTTTCTTCTTATTTTAAATTTTCTATCAGGTGTTCACTATTTCCAAAGAATTGGTGCCTCGGGTGCTATCCAAAGTGGTTGAAGCAGTTTCTGAAGAGCTAAGCCGCCTTATGCAGTGTGTTTCATCCTTCAGCAAAAATGGAGCATTACAGGTCCCAAAATTGTTCAGTTCCATGTTCAACTTTTATTTTCATTTAATACATACAAATGTATTTTTAGTCAGCAGTCTTATAATATAAACAGGGTTTTAGTTGTTTTGTTTATTTTGGAATGGATTTGCTGATTTGAGATCTCTGTCATCTATCTTGCATAAGCCATACCCATTATGCATTGTCTACAAGTTCCAGAGTTTTCATTTCTTTAGAGTAGAACAAGACATTTATGACACTTATGAAATGCAAATTCCTTCTAAAGTTCTGTGATTTTTTCTTTTTATGCAGAATAGAGAGGATAAAATAAAAAGTCATTAAATTTGTAGATCAACAGAAATTATCCAATATGAAAACAGAAAAGAATAATTAGGAAAAAATTAGATTTCCTTGGGACAATATCAGAAGGTCTAGCATACACGTAATTCAGTTTCCAGAAGAGTCAGAGTAGCCAATCAGCACATGAGAAGATGGTCAACATCATCAGTTGGAGCTTTCACACATTGTCGGGAGTGTAAATTGTACAACTACTTTGGTAAAAACTTATTTAGTTTCTTTGAAAACTAAACACGCACATTCCTTATGACCCAGCCATTCTAATCCTCAGTATTTAACTAAGAGAACTAAAAGCATATGTTGTAGGTGGGCGGGGAGACATAAGAATGCTCATAGCAGTTTTTTTCATAATAGCCAAAAACTGGAAACAGACCAGGTGTCCATCAACAGAATAAACTAACTGATATGTTCATATAAACAAATACTATTCAGTATCAGTGTGGACAAACTACCACCTGGATGAATCTCAGCTTTCATCTGAGTGAAGGAAGCTTTACACAAAAGCACACATATTACTATATTGGTTTCATGTACATGAAGTTCTAGAACAGATAAAACTAACCTGTGGTAGAAAAACTCTAAGAAAAGTGCATTGCTCTGGGTGGTTGAGATTAACTGGGAAGGGGCCTGAAAGAGGTTCACAGGGTAGTGGTTCTATACCTTGATATGTATTTTCATTACATAGGTGTATGTATCAGTCAAAACTCATCAAATGGTACACTTTAATATTTGTCCATTGCGTAGTATATAAATTTTAACTCAAAAAATGAAAAAAGAAAAAAATTTGAAAGTCTACTCTAGTTAAGGTGTAGTACATTAAAATAATATAATGGATTGATAGATATGTGATAGTACTAGTAAATGTTAATGGTAGAGTCTGTGGATATACAGATGTTTACTCTAAAATTCTTTCACTGTCTATACATTTGAAAATTTTCGTACAAAAATATTGGGAGGCAAAAGGAATGGAGAGCACTAATTAGGCAAGTTGTTTAAGGGAAAGACTGTTACAAAAACATATTTACAGTTGCCTCAATTTTCTCTAAAAATCTGATTTATCAGACTTTTGATATAAAGTTAAAAGATCATGACGATTATAGTAGTTCTATTACAGGAGAGCAGTAGCATAAATGTTATACTGAAGGTTAATTAAAAAGGAAGTTACAGTAACTACAGTGGGCCTAGGCAGTTTTGAAATAATAACAAAAATCTCCCCTCCTAGCAAATTACCTCTGCATCCCATTTACCTTATGTCAAAATTTTTCTCAAAGCTAGCAGGAAAAAGTTAAGAGATAATCAGCTGGAGAACTTTTTCCATATACAACAGGTCCTTGAATAACATTTTGTTCAACATTGTTTCATTATAACATTGAAAAGGAAAAAACATTGATTCCCAGCTGGGGCCACTGTCTTTTTGGAGGGTGTACATTCTCCCCATGTCTGTGAGGGTTTTCCCTGGGTACTCTGGTTTCCTCCAACATTCCAAAGCTGTGCACATGTCTGCACTGTCCCAGTCTATGTGAGTGTGGGGTGTGTGTGATGTTCCCTGCAACGGAAGGGCATCCTGTCCAGGGTAAGGCCCACCTTGCACCCTGAGCTGCCTGGACAGGGTTCGGCCACCTGAGACCCTGAACTAGAATAAATAGTTAGGCAATAATGATCTTACTTGTTTGTATTAATCTTTCTTAAGTGTATGTATAGCTCATATTTATTTCAATATTTAATATTATAAGTGTTTGGGGTCTTTATTTAGAAGTTCGGTGATGTTTTTGTGACCAGAAATATATCATAAGAATTTAACTCTTGTTTCCAGCTACTAGCCTATGGTAAAATTTGGTTTCATTATACATCATTTCGCTTAAAGTCACAGTTTCCAAGAACCTGTGGACAACATTAAATGAGAATTTACTGTACATGTGTCCAGGAGACTACTAGCCACCATAACTTCCAATATCTAATATTTTGATACATCTTAGGAACTGGACAGGCATTTTTCCATTTTGAAAAAGTTAAAATGATTGTAAACACCCCACTTCACCCTTTCCCATTGAGAATGACTGTTTTCACTGTCTTTCTTTTGAGCAGATAACTGCAAAGAGCTACAGGTTAATCTTTAATAGTCGTTTACATAAAAGACCAATGCATCAGTTTTCAAAACCTTCTTGAGAGCCAGTTTATAGAGGAATGAAGTGATGGTTTAGTGATTTTTGCTGATCTGTTAGCATGACATTTTCTGGCATACAGTTTTTTGTATATTATATAAATAACCACTTTTATAATTGGTGTAATTTATAGGTTAATTAAAACACCTTTTCACTTTGTTTCCATAAAATTTCTACATGAAGATTAGTTTCACAGTGATTTATTTAATCCTCCTAAAATATTCAACTAAAAGTTCTGCATTATTTAGGTTAGCCTTTTTGAATTATAAAAGTTATAATTTATATACCATATAATGTGTCTGTAAGATAAAGAGTATACAATTCAGTGATTTTTTTTTTACTGTGTTCACAGAGTTGTGTAATCATCACCACAATCAATTTTAGAACATTGCATCACCCCAGAAAGAAACGCTAGACCCATTAGCAGTCACTATCCATTTTCCTCCCAGACCTTCTCCCCGATAGTAGACAAGCATCAGTCTGCTTTCTATCTGTGTGATTTACATATTCAGAAAATTTCATATAAATGGAATCATACAGTATGAATTTAGTGAGTAGCTTCTTTTACTAAGCATAATTTTTTCAAGGTTCATCCATGGTATAACATGTAGCAGCACTTCATTCCTTTTTATGTCAATAAATATACCATATTTTATTTATCCATTCATCATTTGATGAATACTTGGATTTTCAGTTTTGTCTGATAGGAAGAATGCCTCTGTGAACATTCATTTACAAGTTATTTGTAGGCATATGTTTTAATAATTTCTTTTAGTTACATACCTAGTAATGGAATTACTAGGTCATATGGTTACTCTGTTCAATCTTTTGGTGAACTGCTAGACTGTTTTCAAAAGGTTATATACCATTTTACTTTTCTATCAGCAATTCCAGTGAAGATTCCAATTCCTCTATAGCCTCACCAATACATGTTACTGTTTGTGTTATAGATTATAGTTATCTTCATGTGTGAGAAGTGGTGTCTCATTCTGTGGGTTGTCTTTCCACTTTCTTGATGATTTCCTTTTAAGCACAGAATTTTTAATATTTGATGAAGCCCAAGTTATCTTTTTTCTTTCATTGCTTGTCCTTTGCTGCCATTTCTAAAAAGGCTTGCCCAGCCCAATATCACAAAGATTTACTCCTGTTTTATTCTAAGTGTTTTATAGTTTTATCACTTACATTTAGGTCCATTTTGAGTTAATTTTGTGTTAAGGAAGGGATCTAACTTCAGTCTTTTTCATGTGGATATCCAGTTACCCAGCCCATTTAATGGTCTCAGCACCCTTATCAAAAATCAGTTGATCATAAATGTAGGGGTTTATTTCTGGACATACATTTCTATTGACCTATATGTCTCTCCATATACCAGTGTCACACTGTCTTGATGATTTTAGCTTTGTAGTAAGTTTTGATATCAGGAAGTGTGAATTTCTCCAACTGTGTTATTCTTTTTCAAGATTGTTTTGTCTGGGATCAACTTGTCAATTTTTTTTTTTTTTTTAAGCCAGCTGTGATTTTAATAGGCATTGCATTGAATCTACAGAACTTTAGCTCGGCTCTTGAGATTAAAGTCAGTGTGCCTGAAGGGTATAGGTGTAAGGAAGTAAGCCAACCCATTTCCTTAAATCTATGGCGGAGGGGAATAATTAAGGGACAGTGTTTCAGACTTTCCTTCCTCTCAAAAGCAGACTAAAAGAAAAATTACTAATTAGATAGTAAATGCAGATTGCTGGAAAATCCTTGTGTAGTTTGTACCTTTTATAGCAAGATATCTAGCTCTCTGCCTTCACATAGTCATACTTGACAGTAACTTGATTTTCAATAAAAGGATATTTTTTCATAGCCAATTTCTTTTTACTATTTTAGAAAGTTTATTTATAACTAGTAATCACCATAAGGGTGGAGGTAACTCTGTGCCTGCAGTAAACAAGCTAGAGACTGTCCCCCTCGTTACTTATTTCTATTTGATAATTGTCACAGTTCCCTGTTGTCACTTTGTCCTTTTCTCATCTTTAGGCGAGGCTTGAAATCTGTGCTTTGAGGGATACTGTGGCTGTTCATCTGACTCCTGAAAGCAAGTGAGATGCTAAATGTTTTTATTCTGAGTATTTCATTAAAAATAAAGCTTGTCTTACTAGTAGTGTATAAAATCCTTTGTAAAGATAACTGATCAGAGTGAATGTTTATGATTTTGCAATGTGATAAAGTCTATCTTTGATCACTTTTTTAGGTAAAAAGCATACACTTATACTAAGCCACAGACTCCTAAGACTGGTTCTTTGTAGCTTAATATAAAGGAAAAAAGGTTTAATATCATTTTATGTTTTTCATTCTGTAAGATAAATATTAGTCTCATAAATGATATAGCAGTGCATTTCATTCTTTAAAAAGGAAGAAAATAAGAATTGAGTCAATCTATTCATAACAGACTTTTGAAGGACAGTTCAAGTGTTGTAAATATCAGCGTAAGAGGAAGCCTTGTGGTTTCTCTGCAGAATTTTGTAGTGGAAATTTGATGATAATTTTTAGCTGTTTTGAATGAAAGTCAGGATTTCCTATCATTGAAACATCAGTATTTGAACTGAAATAGCACTAACTACTTGCTTTTACAAAATCGTTTACTGACAATATTACCTAGGAAATATTGGTTTATACTGTTAATGTACATGAGAAGCCATATAGTATACAAATAAAATGTTTAAGGACATTTTGTACAATCTACTTATTCAGTTCCAGCTTTTGATAACATGGCTTATGCCATAATTCTTTCTGTCATTATTACAACTGAAAGAAAGACAACTATTTTGCTAACAAATAAAATTAGCTTCTTATTTCTATTCATCATGGCTGACCAGAAGCCATTTCTGGATGGCTCCCGTGTTAGTTATTTAACCATACCCTTTCCCAATCATTGTTTTTCTGCACAACGTGCTAAATAACAGATGATAAAAGCACTCAGTCCATATTCGACATGTGGATGGATATCCAGTTATCCAGTACTTATGCCTTGTGTAAGTACCTATGTATTCTCACTAACTTAACCTTTTAAAGCCCAAGTTCCTCATTATAAAAGGAAGATAGTAATACTTTCTAGGTAAAGTTTTGGGGAAAATAAGTGAGAAAAATATGTCAAGTCCCCTTCTAAACTGTTGGCACACTACAAATAATAGGTGGTGTCATCTTTATCATCATTTTGTCATAATGTAAAAATAATAAGAGTATCCCATTTGTTTTGATTAATTGAGAAGAGGTTTAAAGAAACAAGATGGTCGTGGTGATTATAGCAGGGACTTCCCTTGACATCAGGAAACAGGAGAGCCAGTTTCATATTGGGAAGGTAGCTAAGTGTGCCCACAAGCTATAACCTATCTCCGCACCCACACCCTGCCCCCACTTGGAACAACTGAAGCTTCCAGGTGTGTTTTATGACTCTATTGAGACTTTGTAGTCAGTCTCTCTTTGTGGTGCTATGATACCTGCCCCTTGTTGAGAAATACTGCTCAAAAGTATTTCCTGGTATACTGATGAGGATATTTTTACAATACAAAATTAAAGACCACTTTAAAGTCATGAATAATTACATTTATTTCTTCACTTTAGTCAACTAGTCATAAGAGATAAGAATAACTGTTTCTTAGTGAATGGTACAAGTTATTACCAAATAATCTCCCCTAAAATGCTTTTTATTTGATTCAGTAGTTTTTCTGGTACTTTAACAAGATAAATGCACCAAATTGGTGTTAAAATTCACTCTGTTTCATGAAGTGAAATAATGTTGAATTTTAAATATGTATAATCTCTCCATTGTCATACAAATTTAAAATGTAATAATAACTAAATTCTATAAAAGTTGTGTTCCATTATTATAAGATATTAGCTGTAAATCAGGCCCTGGACAGACCAATACTATAAATGTTCCCATTTGTGTAATCCTTCATAAGATCATTCTTATTTTTACTTAGCTTCTTTCCTTTCTTACCAGTTTGTTTTGAAAATAAAGACTTTTTAAAAAATTAAATGCCAACATTAAGCTTTCATCTATCATGAGTAGCATCCTTTTATAAAAATCAATTTCTCCCTTAGTTTTTCATTTCCTAGATGACTTTTTTGACCCTACTCCTACAAAGCCTCTGTCTGATAACTATGCCCTCACTTTTACTTTTTCTATTGTTTTTCACTCTTACTTTTCTCATGTTTCTACATGTTTCACTGGTTTATACTGGTTTCTTTATATTTAAAATATGCTTAAGAATTTTTAATGATGCTCTTAATTTCCCTTAGAAATGTTTCAACTTAATGTTTCAACTTAAATGTTGCTGTTTGTATTCTAGGTCTAGTTTTAAACAGGCTTTGGAAGCCCTGCCTCAGCTTTCCAGTGGAGCAGACAAAAAGTAAGTAGTAAGTTCTGTATGCTATTTTCAGCCTGTTAGATGTGTTGAAGAAGATTTTGTTGTCTAAAAGTACTCTTTTCATAAATAGTGATTTGTATTTAAGAAAAAAACAGCACTTAAGCCCTTAATAATATGCATTATGTCAGTTGTGCCTTTCTTGTCTCCCAAGTGACAGAATAAGGTAAAACCTTTCTTCTTGATTTATAACAATTTAGAAACTAGTTCTTTTCTTGTTTTAAGTGACTGGTATAGAACACATCATAAGAAAGTTTATTTTGACTCATCAGTAAACTATTTTTGTCTTAAATTTTTAAGAAGATATTACTTAGAGAAATGTAAAAGGACAGCATGCTAAAATTCAGGACTGGATTGTTTTCCTTTGAGTAGCTCAGCAATGTACATTTTGTGCTTTATGTATTAAGAAAGAATCGATTTGTACGTATGACATAATAAAGTTATATATGTTTCACCTATACTGTATTGATTTTCTCAGCCTGAGTTTAAACTTTGCTACTCATATAAAGGAAATTCTGACCTGAGACAAAATCTAGGCCAGGCAAATTTCATAAATGCCCAGCCCACTCTCAACTGAGGTATTGGAAACATTATAGATCTTTGCTCCTTCATCATCTGTAACTGAAGTCCACCTACCTTTGCATTTGGCTGATCAGTCCATAAACAAATATTTATGGTGTTATTAAACTGTGTGAAAAACTCGGCATGGGCTCTGCGCTCTAGCACAGGTGAATGTTGTGGAAACTCAGAGGGCAGAGAGAACACATGGGGCTGGGCTAATGGTAGGAAAATGTCATATAGAGATTTGGACTGGGCTTGGAAGAATGAATAGCAGACCAGGTGTTTTGCTTGTATGTTCCTGTGTATGTTCCTAAATGGGCAAGTGGATGCCTGTACAAACAGTGCCCACTTGCAACCCTGTCTTCCATTTTCCTACTTCTTTCTTCTCACACTAACTTTCAAGCTCTATCTGATTCTAAACTCTGCTGATTTCTTTAAAACAAATATGATAAAGATTAAAACAATCACTATTATATTTAACATGTGGAACATGACTCAAAAGCTAATGCTTTTGGGGGGAGTTAACAACAACAGAAATCCTGATATAGTCCTGGATGGGGACTGTGTTTTAGATCTACTATTGGGGCAGTGTTCTAATATTGAGCATTGGTAAACAATGAATAATCTCTTGACTCCAATGCCCATAGGCCCATTTTTGGTTGCTTCATCTGAACCAGATGAATCTAAGATCCCTTCTGGCCCTAGAATTATATGGACATATCAGACCAGTTAAGGAAACAAATGAGTAATCAAATAGTACACTGATTTGCCCAGTGGAATTAGAACTAACCCTGATTCTTCTGGTACTTAATTCACCACTTTAGTACACCATTTGTCAATATTTATTAAAGACAAAGATGCAAAATAAGAGGAACAGAGAATAGTTTTCCAGGGGTGGGGGTAAAGGGAAAGGTGGCTAAAAGGGTCATCATGAGAAAATTTGAAGGGTGATGGACCTATTCTTCATCCCAGTTGTGGAGGCTGCTAAGATGTGTTTATCAACATTCACAGAACTGTATACCAAAAAGAGTACATTTTAGTGTATGTAAATTTTTAAAAAGTGAATTAAGCAAAAGTACAGACTCAAACAATCTGTTTTAGGAAGGAACCTAATTAATTTGGGGAAAAGGAATAGGAGTTAAGAATCCTTAGATAAACAATTTTTTTGAACGCACAGGAGCCAAAATTGGGCAGTTTGTTTCCCTGTATGTTTTCTTATATTGCTAGACAATCTTCATTCTGTCACGTTGTAAAATAGTCTCTGCTCCCTGTAGGTTACTGGAAGAGCTGCTGAACAAGTTCAAGAGTAGCATGCACTTGCAACTCACCTGTTTCCAAGCTGCTTCTTCAACCATGATGAAAACATAAATACCACCAAAATAAGGGCAGTCCAAAGATAACAAGTAATAAAATTGTTCACTTTCTATTAGTATATAAAGCATTAGGTTTATATTCACTTTCTATTAGTATATAAAGCTATTAGTATATAAAGCATTAGGTTTACAGTTTCTCTCTCTCTCCCCTTCTCTCTCTCTTTTCCCCCTGAATTGGTAGCTTAGAAAGATGTTGGTGTATTTTTATTTCAACCAAAATAACCTTATTTGAAATGCCTGAGCAGTGTTTGTTTTGTCATTTTTATTACATTAGGTCCTGTATGACTTTAAGATATTTTAAATATATATATATTTTTTGTTTTTTCTTAGCTAAATGTTTTATGGTGAATGCCACAGAAAGAGTTACTTTTTCAAAGAATATTTTGGGGATGGCATGTGATGTGTAGTAAAGCATTTTTCAGTGTCTCATTTACTAGAGTTTTAGTGTCAGCAGCTTCCAAGACACATGGACAGATTGATAAGAAGAGATTTGGAAAGTTATATTTAGACATCTTTGAAGCTTTAGCTCTCCTAAGCCATACAGGTGTACTTGAAAAGTTCATATCAACGGATAGTTTGAACTCTCCTAATTCAAGTAGATTTTTAGAAAAATTTATGATTTGCATTAAAAAAATGTTATAAGTGGGGTAGATTATTTGTGGTCCAGATGTCAATGAGTTATCTTTGCATTTGCTGCCTAATTTTTATTTTTCACAGCGCTAAATACTAAGCATCTTTTCAGTGTAGCTTTTTTGTTGTCTCACTCTTAATTTGATTTGTCATTTTACATCACTGTGTTGCCTGTCCTTGAGGACCCCTTTGTTACATGTGATGGAGCCTGGATACCCCATGGGTGCCATTAGAAACAGCTACAATCTCCTGGTGTGAGAGCTAGCACTGCCCATCGCTGTCCATTCCTTCCCCTCAGACAGTTTCTTTTCTCTCCACTTCTTATCCTTTGAGGTATCTTGCTCAGTAACTAAGAACACTGCTCTCGCAGAGTCTGTATTTTCTGAATATTTGAAGATGCTCCTTAGCCACTAAGCAGTAGGAGCTGCTGATGAACCACGGGCCATTTGTTGAGGTCATGGTGAGGTCTTTCTATGTTAGTGTTCCCTACCTAACTTTACCATACTATTTGCTTCAGAAAACTGAGCAATTCTCTATTTGTAGTTTACGTGTCAGAGTTTTCCAATTTTTTATGGGTGTCACAGAATCCCACTTTTTAATGCTGAAATTAATATCTTTATTAATACAAGTAATTTTAGAGTACAGTATAACTGTCTACAGTATGCATTATTTGAAATAAGTCAGTGTTATGTTTGTTCTTTTGCTGTATAGGGAGAAATCTTAGTAACTGGAAGTGAAAGTTTAATCTTTTACAAATGTGCTCAATAAAGCTTATGAATATGAATTAAATTACAAAAATGCAATTCTAGTTGTATTATTTTAAATAGTATACAGCATTCAGCCACTACAGAATGTGTCTTCAATACAAGATGTAATTTAGTTGACATTTTTCCCCTAAGCATCTTTATTTCAACATTTTTATTAGCTATATAACTTTTTATAGGTCCAATTTTAACACTCAGAATAAATACTTAAATTCTAGACTACCTTATGTTTGTCTAACCATTGTCAGAAAGCATTTATCAGGTGTCCTGTTAATTCTCTTCTTGTTGGGGGCTTACCATATGCCAGGTACTGCAGAAAATTATCTCATTTAGTGCTCTCAACAGCCTTCGTAAACCTTATAAGCTAGGTGGTATTATGTCCATTTCACAGATAAAAAAAAATGGGCCTTAGAGAGAGGTTAGTGACTTCTCTAAGACTACAAGGCTGGTAAGGGCAGGATCTGTGTCAAACTCAAAGTTGTCTGGCTTCATCACTTCTTAAATTAAGCACTGCCAGTTCTTTCTCCCAGCTCAACATGCTTTCTGCTGTCCCTCTGCCAATAACATAGCTCAGGGAAACATATAAACACTAGCAGATCATAAAATTTAAGCAAAATAGAAACAGGTAAGTGCTTTAATGGCTTAGAGAATAGAGCGTAGGCACAAAAAAAAACAAAAAAAAAAAAACCAAAAAACCCCATACCCAAATGAGGTGCTTCAAGGACTACTACTCCAACAAATCAAGGGGGACTTCTTGGAAGAAAGGGGAATTTTAAGAGCTGCTTGAGCTACAGAAGAATGTAATGATTAAGAGGAAATGGCTGAATATAATATAAGTTAGAAGAAATCTGAGAGACTTGGAGCAAATGTATAAAGCGGTAGCTGAGAAAAAAATTTAAGTTACTCAAAGGTACTTGCTTTTACACCCAGGTACCGTTAGGATTTAGCACACCCACGTCCATGTGGTCAGCCTGGCTTCATGTCAGTTAGCAAAGTTGGCCTCACCTTTAATATTGAAAAAGTATTAGAAATAATTTGGTTTTACTAAGACTTTCTATATCAGTGTACCATGAAAGTGGCATATTCTAGAAATGATTACGGCATTACAAAACAAGCATTATTGCAGTAGGCACAGCTCCCTGAGTCACTCTCCTGTTTCTGTCATCCTTCAAGAAAACATGCATGCAGTTTTTTTGAAGGGGATAAAAAGGAAGGATTATATTTTAATTTTAGATTTGGTACAAGATGATCATGTGTTTCTGTTTTGATCATGTGCTGTGGGATATTGTACTAGTAGTTGCATAATGTGTTTTCTGAAAGTTATCATAAATTACCAGCTTGTAAATAAAGGTTAGATTTCTAAAATAAGGAAAATTAACTATATTTTATTTAATATATATTTGAATAATTATACGTTACTATAGACTCAAACTTGCATACATATTTATCATTAAACATTTACCTAGCAGTACTATCATATAGGTTTTTGTATGGATTTATGAACTGCTCTGAAAAATCTAAAAGATATACTGAATACTTGACACACATACCTCAATTAGAATAGCAATTTTAATGATCTTAGCTTCCCCTTAAATGCAGATCGCATATTTTTATAGAGTCTTCATGCTTTTTCTGTACTAATATCATCTCATTTTCTATTCACCCACATTTTTAATTTAGTGTTATTATACGTATCACTGGAAAGCCTTTTTGTACCTGGCTAGGTTATAAATATGTAACAGTTAATATTTTAAGAACAGAATCTGGATCTTTGGGTGACCTGTTGTAATTTGGCTAATGAAAGCCACTAGGATGTCAGAATACCTTTCTCCTGTCTAGACCCATGAAGTCTTAGACAGCGTTAGCACTGGAGTTGGTCACACTATCTTTATTAGCACTGTCACCATGACTGGTCCCCCCATGGTTGTGTCGCACTGATCATTGTTGATATGATTGTTGTAATTGTTATTTCAATCACATTTTTCTTGAACGTTTCTACCTACGAACGCTTTAGCTAGGCACAAATCCCTGAGAACCAAGACCACTACCTGAACTTAATTGCCAAGAAAGGCCCCCAGATGGACTCATCCCAGAGGGAGGAGGACAACCAGGGAAGAATGAAATCATGGGGTCAACAAAAATCAAGGGAAGAACAAGAATCATGGTCAGAATAAAGAATCAGATATTGTCATATATGTCCAGAGGATGAGTATTGAGAAATATTTGCTAGACTTGGCATTTAGAAAATCATAAATAACCAGAGAGAGAGGCATAAGGACAGAATCATAGAAACTTAAAACTTTGAACTGATTCTTTTATCTCACCAACTGTCAAGAGAGTTGCCTTTTTTTTTTAAAGATCACAAAGTTTCTTGGCCTCAGCACAATAGTGAAACCCATGAGGGTCAGTCTTTAAGGCTCTTTCTCAACTTGCTGCTTTTTAAAATTTATCTTTCTGTGTGTCT